TGTAGTGTATAAAAATACCTCATTTTCCTCAACATACTGATTTCATTTCCTTTGGATACATGCCCAGTAGGGTGTGTTCATGCCTCTTTGTCTCTCACCCTTCTGCCTTCTGCCATAGGATGATGCAGCAAGAAGACACTTACTATATTCCACTCTTGAGGTTGAACTTCCCAAGTCTCCAGACTTGTGAGAAAGCAAATTTCTTTTTTATTATAGATAATATAATGTTTTGTTATCACAGTACAAAGTGGACTAAAACAAGTTAACTTACCAAAATAAAGTGCTTAGTACAGTGCCTACCACATAGTGCTGAATAAATGTCAGGTCTCATTATTCCTACTGAAAGTATAGTCCTGCCTGCATTGAGTGCAGAATTTCTTCACACAGTACTTTTGCCATTTGAGATGCATCACTTTGGGTTGTCAAATGATCTCTGGGGTAATGCAGAAAGTTCTAGGAATAAACCTGAAGTAGTACATTAAAAACTTTTGAAAAATGCTTTCCAAAGTCTATTATTTCCTTCTAATGGGTTTTAATAAAGAGAAGGGTGAAATAATAAAAAGTTTCTGAGTTGTAGATTTGAGTTCATGACAAGGAGTTGAGATGGGCTGCTACAACTGATCGGCTCCTGATGGAGAATTTGCTGACATCACATCAATTCCTAATTTTTGGTGTTTGCCAGGCGAATGAGCTGATCTCAGAAAATTTCTAGATTTTCAAAACTCCAAAATGTTTGAAGCAGCTGTCTCTGAATCAAAAAACATGGCGCATTCTGCCATCTGCTGTTCACGTTGAAAAAGACAACCATCTTCATGCCAACCAAAGTGTCCCCACCCTTTTCTACACAGGAAACTCCCTAGTTCCCAGGCATCTTCTTCAACTTACACGTTAGATGCCTCTAAAATCCTCTCTGCTGTGAGAATAAAGGCAAAGGCCTGGAGCTTCAGGAAGTCACAAGCCCAGGACAGGCTGTTGGAATGCCAACAGCTTGGTCTGATTCTGTGATGACCTCAGGCCAAGTCACTTGTCCCTGCCAACCTGTTTCCTCATCCCTGAGTCAGACTGCTGTTCCAAGCCAGTGCTACTCAGCTGAGGTCTAGAATCCCGGAGACTTGGTACCTATCTATGCTTCATTTTGTTGGAAACCACAGATAATCTATAACAGTATAGCATCTATGGGGTCCCTAGTCATGTTGCCTCTTTCAACTCTGATATTGCTGATTTGACTCCTCCGTTTAATCATTTAAGCATAAAGTTTAAGAATTTTATTGGCCTTTTCAAAAAAAATCAATACTTTTACAATGAATGCTTCTTTTAGTTGTATGTTTTCTATCTCACTGAATGTCTTTCTCATATTTATTATTTCCTTATTTCTTACTTCTTTAGGTTTAGTTTCCTCTTCTTTTTCCAGTTCCTTAAGGTTCACATGAACACCATTGATTGCAGGCGTTTTTTCAGGTCTGTATAAACATCTGAAACTGCAAATTTCATCGCTTTGCATCCTCTAAAAATGTACTTGTTTGTTTTCATTTCCATTCAATTAACAATATTTTCTGATATCCCATGGAATTTATTATTTGATTCATATGTTAATATGATGTATAATGACTTCATTTTCAATATTTGGAGAATTCTCAGATATCTTTTGTTAACGATTTCTATTTTCATTCTGCTAGGATCAAAGAACCTGCTCTGTATGATAAAACTTTTAAAACTTTTAAACACTTGTTTTATACACCAGTGTGTGGTCTATACTTCATGTGTAATGTAAAAACCTTATAACCATGTACTCATGTATGATTTGGGTGCTATGTGCTGTTGCTGTTGTACGTTTATTTTTACAAATGTTATAGTCCCACAATGCATTGTTTTTGCATTCACATAGTTATATTTTTAAATATTTAAAATGAGAAAACATTAACATCTACCAAATTTATCATTTCTGGTACACTTCATTCATCCATGTGCATTAATTTGCCAACAATAATCATTTAACTTCCATGCTGGGGAATTTTCTTCCACTTTTGCATGCACATCTGCTAGTGACAAACTTTTGCAGGTTTCCTTTAAAAGTCTTTATTTCGCCTCATTTTGAAAGGTGATCTTACAGAGTATAAAATGTAAGGTCATTGAATTTCTTTTTGTTTTCTTTACAGATTTAGAATAATTTTCTGGCTTGAATAGTTTCTAATAAGATACCTGTTTTAATTCCTATCTTTGTTCTTCTGTATGTAATATGTCTTACTTTCTCCAGCTATATACAATATTTTGCTGTTTTCATCTTGTGTATAAGACGCTCTAGTGAGGTTCTGGTTTTATCCATAATAAGTTTGCTGAGCTTCTCAAATCTGTGCTAATAATTGTCATCAAATTGGAAAGTTTGAGCTATTGTTCCTTTAGATATACTTCCCATCTTCCATGGGACTGCAATACATATATTTACCACTCTGTATTGTCACAAAACTCACTGATAAAATACTTTTTAAGACCTTGGTGCTGCAAAACCTGAGCTGAACTAATATGAGGCAGCTTTGTCTTCTAGTGGGAGTAATCCAGTTTCACTCAAAAAGAATGAGTTTAATTACAGGCTGCTGCCAGCCTCTCCTGAGATACTATATAATATGTGGCATATGTGCCTACTTTCATTCCTAAAATTGGAAAAAGTGTGAAATCAAAACACATTTGGTGCTAAGGTTTTCAGATAAAATTGGAAAACTGGTATTCCTGGTTCTGTTATTTTCCCTAAAAACAACCATTAAAGTTCACAAAGCAAGTTCCCAAGAATTTTTAAAAGGAGACTAATTATGGTACAGTTTTGTTGAAATATGGGATAGGTATTACATGAACATGAAAAATAGAATGGAATCTACAAGTAATCTAGAATTTACAGTATAGTAAAATAGCAGTCCAAAGAGACTAGGAAACATTTGATAATTGATTTGAATTCTCTCCAATCTGACATTCATTTCCCCAATTCTATGTGGGCTTTGAACTGATTTGGTATTTGGACTCCATGATAGAAACACTGAGACCTCTCTTCATCTCACATTTGGCTGCCTGGACAGTTGGCTAGGCTTTATATGTCCAGCTGGATCTCTGTCCATCTGTTGAAGAGTTGTCAGTCTGGCTTCTTAAAGGTCTGGCTAGTGGCTGGCCAGCCCTAGGTGAGGCTGTATGATTTACACATTCCCAGTGTTGATCATGCTTTGAAAATATAATTTTAATATCTCTATTAGATATAATTTAATGTAACAGATATATAACACAATAATTTATAATATATGCTAATTATAAAATATTGTGTGGAATATTAATTTCAAATTTTTAGAATTAGTCTATATAATCATAATCATCTTATAATTACAATATTCATAACAATATATTTAATGATATAACATTTACATGACCTAACATTATCAGATGCTATTTTAGGTTCAACATTGAGTAATTTAATACTCCAAGACATCCCAGTAAGTCAGGTATTACCATTAACATCTTTACTACATTGGTGAGGAAAGCCAGGTTCTCAAAAGTCTTACTTAATGGGTCTGAGGTCACAAAACCTGTGAATGCTGGGCACTGAAATTTTTCACCTGGATCTAGAGGGCACACTACTTACTCACCAAGCTAACAAGTTCACGATCATAATAGCCATGTTATGGTAGTTATCTTTTATTATTATATTATACATTCCTGTACTTGTCATACTCTAAAGTTTTTGTTGATTATACAACTTATTAAATGTTTAAAGTATACATTTGTATATTTAAATTCATTATGTGTTATCAATCTCTATTTATAAAGAATATTACCGTTTGCTCTTACATACTTATTATATTTTTGTTTCTATAAAATATATAAATTTTCTTATTAGAGGAGTTATTTATTTTATTGTACTTTTAAAGAGTTTATTACACATTGTGTATTTCTAAATTTATTAGGTCAATATATCTCATACATACATAAACTTATATATTGCTTATATTAAAGTACTGTCTATATTTCTTACTACTTATCTATTGCCTGGTGTATACAAGTTTTATGGTGCCATATTATTGGCATTCGTTGCCCTAAATATAATGTAGTTAATTATAACTGTACTAAAGGCTTTCGCTTAGCAATTGCTGAAAGTAGGCTAAGAGCACCTTCACTCCAGGATAAGCAATCATTAGACGGGAGAGGTCAACAATGTCATGTCACTGTTTTACCAGTAGGGAAGCTGAGGTCCAGGGAGCTGCAGTTTGGAAGCGGCCTCAGAGCCTTTCGAATCCTAGGTTTCCACGTTTCTCCGTGGTCCCTTTTCCACACCTTCTCTATCACTTCCTCCCAAACTTATCACAGCAAGTGACCACCTACTCGCCAGGCCTAGGACCAGCCCCAGGTGAGTGCCTGCCTGCCCTCCTGCAGCACAGCCTCGAGGTGGATCAGGGCCAGGAGGATTCTTCCTGGCAGGCCCTCCTGGGAGGGGATCCTGCGGGAAGATGGAGCTGGGGGCTTCGTTTCCTAGAGCTCGGGGTTGGGTGCCACTCACCTGGCTAGGGGGACGCCAGAAAACAAAAAAAAAAGCTAGTAATTTGGCGGGCGACAAAGAGATGCAGAGATACGGATTAAAGAGTCACCCAGAGAAGTGGCACGGGGTGTCCCAGGGAGAGACATAGAGACCCAGAGCAAGCGAGACACACGCCTAAAGCAGGCGCGTCCGCACCCACCCTCAAAATGCAAACACCGAAAATTTTTGAATTGGTTCGTCTTGTCCTGGACGCCTAGGTCCCCCGCAGCCTTCAGGATGCGACTCCTGGTAATTCCCAGGATGAAGTCGCATCCCACCTCGGTCTCCTCTAAACTAGTGTGGATTCTCTAGGGGCGGGTCCCATCTGAGGCTCCGCCCCCGTCCAGCCGGCCAATGGAGGCGCGTAGAGACCGGCGCGGCACGGTCCCCAGCCAACGAGGAGGCAGACGCCCCTTGAGGCCACGCCCACAAAACGCCCCCTTTAGGTCTGGGCGCCTAATCTGCTTGGCTCCGCGTGCGAAAGGTTCCTGTCTTCACCAGTGTGGTAAGCACCCACTTTTGCGGGTCTGAACAAGTCCTGCGCTTTGCTTTCGCAACCCCATTCTCTGGAACCACGAGAATGTTTGTGAATTGCAGACGGAGGCCGCTGAAGCCCTGGATTGGCTAATTACAGAGATACTGGAGGGTCCGAGTCCTAAAGGCTGATCTGACTGCGCGCGGCGCTCGGATTAGAAGCGGCGAATGCCCATCGAGCATCCATGCCCTGCCACTCCCTTTCTGGAAGGACAGAAATTGAAGTTTCCTGAATTCTGAGAGAACACGTTGGTTGATCCGGCACTGTATCCTAATGGATACCGTGGATTGGGTCTTAGGAGATGCAAAATACGAGTAAAGAGAGGAAACCGGCAGGAGCCTCCCGTTACGTTCAGAGACGTCAGTCAAGGGATAGGCGAGTACAAACGCCAGTCAACACAGTTCTTGTGAAGGTACCACCCGAACCGGGCGGAAGGGAGAGAAAGAGCTCTTCTCGATTGGGCCACAAGGAAGGCAGTCCCGCCCTCTGTGCTCCACGATTGGTTAAGCTCAAGCCGTGCCCCTCACGTCGGCAGCCAACAGTTTGACAAGTGGGCAGCTCTCGCCCCACTTGCCGCTTCCGCCGGGTTAGTGGGAAGGAGTCCGAAAGGGGCTCACTGGGCTCCTGACCAGGTCCGACGTAGATCCGGGAGACGCGCGCTATCTGAACGGTGAGGGAACGCTAATCGGCGGCGAGAAAGAGGCCCCACGGGGAAAGAATGAAGTTCTGCAATCGGAAGCGTCTTCCGTGAGGCGTGGCTTCCGGAAGTGTGGCGAACCCTCAGCAGCACCCGGAAGTGTGATGCTGCTGCTGCTCCGGGAAGTGTCGGTGTCCGGCGGGGGAGATTCAGGGTTGAAACAGGTGTTTACGCATCTTTGTTTCCTACCGCCCAGCAGTCTCCCTCTATGGAAAGTGTTGGAGGGTGCAAGTATTTGGTCCTGGTTTGAATGTCCTGGTTTCTCATCCTGTTGGAAACACGGGGAATAAGTGCTAGGGATGTGTGCAGGGGGCCTGGCTCTGTAAAAGATTCTAAGTTTCCTTTGCTGCCCGTCACCCCCTTGATTTCCCCTCCCCTCCAGGGATGTGCAGATGGAGGCCGGAGGGGACAGTGCTGCCCCATCCCCCGGGGCCGAGGAAGGCTTGGAGGACCTGCCGTTCCCCAGTGAAGAGACTGGAGACAGTGGAGGGATTCACACGGCTGTGCCCGATCCCGGAGACGACGGGGACCTGGAGGAAACAGGTGTGCCCTCCCCTCGCTGGGGTCTTGGGAGAACTCCCAAGGGATTGTCATTGTTGGACAGGGGAAGGGAGGATCTTTTGGAGACCAGTGAGGCGTCTTGGGACTCAGGAAAGTAGCCTGAACCATAACCTGTTCTGTAGGAGGGCACAGTTGGCTCACTGGTGTAATTTGACTCATCGAGAAATAACAAGGAAGTTAGTGGGTATCAGCTGACATTCACTGAGTGCAATCCTGTGGGCTGGGGCAGATGCATCCTCTTAAGGGAGATAAGGAAGGATGAAAGAAATTTGGGGTATGATGAGGGACTGTCCCAGTTTGTCCAGCAATTTCTCCATTTTAGCATTGGAATGCCCTTAACCTGAGAAACTTCTCAGTTCTGGGGAAATCAGAATGTATTTAGTGTGCTTTTATGTCATTGAGGATTCAAGAACAGTACAGTTGTGGTCCAAGAGGGTCTTGGGACTTTAGGGTGTTTTGGCCAATGAATTTGTAAAAGAAAGTCAACAGGGTCAAAGGAAGGACTATTTAGAAGCTAAAGATTGGGGGAGGTAGGGTGTTAAGTCATTGCGGTGGGAAAGGGATTAATGAGTGTCTATGGGTACTCAAGAGTATTTATGTCATTGAAGGACCAATAGAAGGTTGTTGAGGGAAGTCTTTAAAGAACCAATGACATCAAGTAATAGTCGTGATTAGTAGGGAAGGGGGAGTCAGTGAAATTATGTGGAAAATTGGGATCAATAGGGGGAATATCTTGAAAACAGATGTTAGTGGATGTGTAAAGGTATCATTGAGGAATCAGTAGTAGTCATTGAGGAATCTTTGCTCATAGATCACCTTGTAATTAGTCGATGTTAATAGAGTCTTTAGAAAGAAATAACAGACATCACTGAGAAAAAAATTGTGGGGTTGTTTAAGACTTAGAAATTATTGGCAGGTAATGGCAGTTATTGGGAGGGAGTAGTTGGTATTTGGAGCTTGGGGAGTACTGGCATTTGTTACTGAGAGGATATAAGTTCACTAGATTTTACGGAAAAAAAATGCAGAGACGTAGTTGCAACTGGACAATAGTGACTGTCATTGGGTGAATTAGTAGACATCTATGAGAATCAGTGGGTGTGGCAGGGAAACAGTGATTGTGGTATTTATTGAATGTAAATGATGGGCATGAGGAAGGGCAGAGTAGGTCATGAAAGTACTATATGTTATTGGAGGTTAACCATGGTCTTTAGTGGAATGCAGGGAGTAGACATGGAGTAAAACAAATTGTGGGTCGGGGCAGCCATTAAAGATGTTAGGGATAATACTGTGGTATTATTGGGCTGTGAGTGGATCTCAATGGAATTAAACAGGAGGGAATGGGGGTTAGTGGGTGTTAATGGCAACTAACTACCAGAAGAATTAATGAATATTACTGGGACTGTAAATGGTTGATCAGGAGAGTTGATGGGGGTCGTTAGGGATCAGCGGACATCAGTCAGCAGGCTAGGGGAGTTAGATGGTAGGGAGCATAGGTATTATGGATGGTAATGGTGGCCGTTGAAGGATGGGTAGATACCAAGAAAATAAATAAAGGTTCATAGGAATTAATGGGGGATCGTGTAAAATAAGAATATTAATGATCAGAGACAGTGGGGTGCTCAGAAGACTTGAGAATGGTGGTTGTTGAAAGAAGAGTAACTGGTCTGCAGGGGCATAGAGGGGCCCGTGACAGTGACAGCATATTAGGTTATTCCAGTTGTGGAGGATCACTGGAACCTCAGTGCTGGAAGACATTAGGGAGATCCAATCTCTGGGAGTCATTGAGCAGGGGAAGGGCAGCAAGGGAGACACTCAGAGGTCTTGGCATTCAGGGGCTGCTGTGGGACTGGGACTGGTGAGGATTCGGTGGGTTTTGGGGAACCTGAGTTAGTTGGAGTCCACAAGCAGATGACCCACCAGGGGCTTCCTTTCAGGATCCAAGGCCGAGGACCAGTCACCCAGCCTCCTGTCACAACTGCCCCAGTCAGAGGCCCCATCAAGTACCAGTGAGCACTGGAGTACTGCAGCCTCGGACAGTAGTCCCATTCATGGCCCGGAGAGTGACTCCAGTGGCGGGGACCCCAGTGGCGGGGACCCCAGTGATGAGGACTGGCGCAGCCAGCGGAAGCATGTGTTTGTGCTGAGTGAGGCTGGCAAGCCCATCTACTCACGGTACGGTAGTGTGGAGGCGCTGTCGGCTACAATGGGCGTGATGACAGCCCTCGTGTCCTTCGTGCAGAGTGCTGGAGATTCCATCCGCGCCATCTACGCTGGTGAGCCAGGGGGTGGCAAGCAGGATGGGAGGCAGCCACTGGGAATGTGGCTGGCTGGCTGGAGTCTGTCTGACCAGCCCTGGGTAGATCTGTCTCTGCCTACCTGAGGCTCTGTCTAGACCGGCAGGGTCTGGCTGTCAGAGGTCCATCTCTCCGGCCTGCTGGCTTCTGAGTGACTGATACCCTGGGCTCTGAGTGATTCAGGAATACCCTCTTGTGGCCTGAGGGCATGGCTGTGGGGACTGAGGCTGGGTGTCCTGCCTTCATGCGGCTTCTTGCTCCATTTCATCTCCCACCACCCACTTGGTGCTGTGTTCTAACCTACTCATCCCTTGACATCCCATCACATTTCTACAAAGGTCCAATTTTCCCGGCTCATACTTGTCCTAGTAGGTGTCTGCAGAGCAGTGGTGGGGACTTGGGCCTGGTGTTGTGTGCTGGGGTGAGGGGACAGAAGAGCTCCGCCCCACCCCCAGTCAGTCCTGATACAGCTCTACCCCTTGCCCTGTCCCTTCCCTTCCCCAGAGGACCACAAGCTGGTGTTCCTACAGCAGGGCCCACTGCTGCTGGTGGCCGTGTCCAGGACTCCTCAGTCAGCAGCGCAGCTGCGGAGGGAGCTCCTGGCTGTGCACGCCCAGATCGTGAGCACTCTGACGCGAGCAAGCGTGGCCCGCATCTTCGCACACAAGCAGAACTACGACCTCCGCCGCCTGCTGGCTGGCTCGGAGCGGACTCTGGACCGGCTTTTGGACAGTGTGGAACGGGACCCGGGTGCCCTGCTGCTAGGGGCCGTGCGCTGCGTGCCCCTTGCCCGCCCATTGCGGGAAGCCCTGGGTGCCCTGCTGAGGCGCTGCACAGCACCCGGGCTGGCACTGTCAGTGCTGGCAGTTGGGGGCCGGCTGATAACAGCTGCCCAGGAGCGCAATGTGCTGGCTGAGTGCCGACTGGACCCTGCAGACCTGCAGTTGCTGCTGGACTGGGTGGGTGCACCAGCCTTTGCGGCAGGTGAGGCCTGGGCACCTGTATGCCTGCCCCGCTTTAACCCGGATGGTTTCTTCTATGCCTATGTGGCCCGACTGGATGCCATGCCCGTCTGCCTGCTGCTGCTCGGCACCCACCGTGAAGCCTTCCATGCCATGGCCGCCTGCCGGCGCCTGGTGGAAGATGGAATGCGGGCCCTCGGTGCCCTGCGTGCCCTTGGGGAACCTGCCAGCCTCTCTAATGCCCCAACAGCCAATGCCCCTGCCTACAGTGTGCAGGCTGTGGGGGCACCTGGTCTCCGGCACTTTCTTTATAAGCCACTGGACATCCCTGACCACCACCGCCAGCTGCCCCAGTTTACCAGGTGGGCCCTGACCCTGTGGGTGGTTGGCCGGGTGGGGCAGTTTGTCCAACAAGGATGGTCAGCCTAAGAGAGGAGAAGGGCCAGCCAAGAAGGCCCTCCACTCACCTTGCCCTCCACCTCCCTCCCCCATGGCAGCCCCGAGCTGGAGGCCCCATACAGCAGAGAGGAGGAGCGGCAGCGGCTGTCGGACCTGTACCACCGCCTGCACGCCCGCCTGCACAGCACCTCCCGACCCCTGCGCCTCATCTACCACGTGGCCGAGAAGGAGACGCTGCTGGCCTGGGTGAGTTGTGAGTGAGCTAATGTCCCACTTGAAGGCTCCTTGCCCTCCAGTGCACGAGACCTTTTCCTGGGCTCTGCCTCTGTCTGTAACACTGTCCCCACCATCACACACATCTCCGAACTGCAGAAGGATTTACCACGGTGTGCAATCCCATGTTAGCCCCACTGTTCTACCTGTGGTCCCCCATTAGCAACCAGTCCAGTATCCTGACTTGCAGGAGACCCCATTAACCATCACTGAGCCCCTGAGTCCCCACTTTCCACCACTGCAGTTTTGATTTCTTGAGTCCCCAGCACACCTCATCCCATGCTGGGCCCTCTATCTGGATTTCCTTCCCTGGGCTCCTGCCTCACTTCTTGTGGATTTGTTAAAGGTAAGCACTTCCGGGAGGTCAGTCAAGGAAACCCCATTGGAAATGGCATGTCCCCCAGGCTCTGACATTTGTTAAATAATTTATTGCAAATCTGTTGTGTATTGGCCATTGTTTTAGGCAGAGGATTTTAATTTTCAATTTTTTTTTAAATTTCATTTTCAAGTAATTTTCGGCATAGTTGAGAGTTGAAGTTGACAAAAATAATACAAAGACTTAACATGAAGAAACCCTTTTCCTAGTGTCACCAAAGATTAACATCTAATAAAGCCACAGTAACTTATCAAAAGCAAGAAGTTAACATTGGTTCAATAACAGTTGATCCATAGACTTGGTTCAGATTCTACCAAGTCTCCCATTGACATCCTTTTACTGGTCTAGAATCCGTTCTAGGATCATATGTTGAACCTGTTTATTATGTTTCTCTGGTCACATTCTAGAACTGTTCCCAGTCTTTTCTGCCTCATGACCTTAACACTTTTGAAGAAATGGCTTGTAACATGTCCCTCAACTTGGGTTTTTTATCATGAGTAAGTTGAGGCCAAACTTTTTGAGTAAGAATCCCACAGAGGTGATGTGCCCTTTTCTGCATTGTCTTAAGGGATTGTGATGCCGGTTTGTCCCTGTTTTTGTTGATATTGACTTTGATTACCTAGTTAAGAGGGTGTCGCCACATTTATCCATGATAAAGTTACAATTTTCCCCTCTGTAATTAGTAAATATCTGTGGCATTCATGCCAGTGTCTTCTTTTTCGTTATAATTTTACCACTAATTTTAATATCTGCTAATGATTCTACTTTGCAGTAGTCATTAGTCAAGTGTTTGCCCAATGGTGCCTTTTCTAACCCTACCACCCTTTCTAGGATAAAGAAGAACTTTTCTTTGTTCCATTCATTGAATTTTTAGTTATATATCAATATAGTCTCATGAGGTTTTTCTTTAATTTTCAGTGGCTAATCTGTTTCCCTAGCATTTATTTTGGTGCTGAAATTGTCTGATTTAGCCAGTGGGACCCCTGATTTAGCTAGGCTGATGCCCATGTCTCCTGCCATGTCTTGTCTGCTGTGAGCTCTGCTTACTTGACTCAGCACCAGGCCTGGATTCATCCATTTTTCCAAGATTAAAGTGAGCATTTATACATTTTAATGGAGATTGGCATTTAAAAACCAAGATAGGGGAGGCCCAGTATTTAAAATCAGGTGGTCCGAGGAGGTCTGCTGAGGAGATGGCCCTCAAGTGGAGAGAAGTAGCAAGCCATGTGGTGTCTGGAGGAAGAGCACACCTAGCAGAGCGAGAGCATTCTTTCAGTTCTTTGCAGTGCGGCTGGGCCTGCCTGTGTTTAAGGAACAGCAAGGGAAGGCCAAGGTGGCTGAGACATGGGACAGATGGAGCCATGCGAGAGCGGTGGAAATGACACAGAAAAGGTGCTAGTGATATAGTGGGATCAGATCTCAGGCTATCGTGCAGATTAGAGTGAGTTCCTCTTTATATCATGCCCAGGCCTTAAATGATGAAAACATAGCAGTGTGTAACTTAAAATAAGACCTGCTAAATAATAATTGCTCACTGAGTATTAAACACGGTTGTTAATATTATCTCCAGCCCACAGATAAGCAAATCAAGGGCCAGAGAATAAACCACATACCCCCCGAGACAGACAGACACACACACACACTCTTTTACACACACACACACACACACACACACACCAATAGCCAGCATCCCTGTTAAAGCCTCTAGTTCCAGCTGACCCTTAGACCCAACTGAGAACCCTTGACTCACCTATGACATAGTAAGATCAGGTTACCCGCCGTAGCCTAGTGTCCAGGGAGTACCAGGTAGGAATTGTTGCCAGATACTTCTAAGCTACAGGAGATAAACCTGGGCCTGGGTTTGGGTGGGTAGGATCATCCACGGCCAACTGCAGCCTCTGATTCTGTCTCCTTTCAAACCCCCAGGTGACCTCCAAATTTGAGCTCTATACCTGCCTCAGCCCCCTGGTGACAAAGGCAGGTGCCATCTTGGTAGTGACCAAACTTCTGCGCTGGGTGAGGAAAGAAGAGGACCGGCTCTTCATTCGTTACCCACCTAAGTATTCCACACCCCCAGCCACCTCTACGGACCAAGCTCCCAATAATGGCTTATTCACTGGACTCTGAATGGTGGTGCTCCCAGACTGCTGGGAGTGACCATCTTGGGTCTCTGACCTGGAAGTGTGGGTGGGTCGGTTGTCTTTGGCTGGTCCCTGTCTCCCTGGGCAGGCAGGCAAGATCCAAGGCCTGCGCACAAGTGGGAGACGAGTGACAGCAGCCAGAGATACAGGCTGCTCTTCCAGCCCCTTCATCACTTCCAGCCCCGGGAAAAGGCTCTGCCCACCCTCTGCCTCACCTCCCCCAGCCTCTGTCAGGGGCTATCCCCTAAACCTCTCCCTAAATCTGTCTCCTCATTGGACTGTCAGTTCTGAGTGTCCAGGGCAGCCAGGATTTCTGGGGTGGCCCAAAGGAGCTCTAGAACTGGGAATAAAGGGTCAGCCTGTACCTGGAACTGACCGAAGGGTGTTTTAAAGAGAGAAAAAAAAAAAAAACCTGTACGTAAAAGGCTTAAAACCAAGCCCCTAAGGATACTTGTTTGCCCTTCATGTATTTGTGTTCATTTGTACCCTACCAGAAAGTAAGCTGCGTTGGTCTACATTGGCTGCTTCTAATAATAATGAGAAGGTAGCCTCCCTTGAAAAAGAGGACATGTAGTGCCTGGTCTCAGACAGTGGCCAGGATCAGGAATTTTTTGCATAGGAGGTGCCCTTAGTGTCTAAGGCTCGTTGTACTTCTCTATGAAATGGTCATAACTTTGTCTCACAGACTATTTAATGAAGTTTTGCAAATAGAACGGGATTCAAACTCTTATCCCAGACTTTGGCAACCTGCCACCACAAAAGCATCCTGAATAGAGACCTCCTTGGTTTGTGTGTGGTCCCCGTCCTCCCCACCCTCCCTCCCTCCCTCCCTAACTGCCCGGTGCCCTAGTCCTGCTCCTGTTGAACCTGTTACTGCCTCGCAGTGGTGCGCATGCGTGCTAACTGTCCACCCGGAGCGCCCGGTACTGTGCGCCTGCTCGAAGCAAATACTCGTCACTCCTCCATCCCAGGTCAACCGATGGAGTGAATGTGCCAGGTCCCGAGCGAACTGCCCTTCGCCCTCACGTGGGTGTTATTTTTTTAACTTATCGTCGACCCAGGTGCACAAACAAACCCCGCGTTGGAAAATGGCAGAGAAGCTGGGTTCTCTGAGCGAAGAGCCCGAAGCGCAGGAGCCCGCTGGAGGTAGCGTGAGGGTCCACGGTGGGCGCCTGCAGGGAGGGGCTCGGACCCTCGACAGTAACGAATAGCGGTAGCAGTAGTTTAAAAATGAAATTTTAAACCTTTTATTATTGAAAGAAAACCATTGCACACCGTGGCATTAAGTAACATGCACAGTCTCTTCACCCAGATTAACTCTTGTCAACTTTGTTAAACATGTTGCTTAGGTATTTTGTAGTAAGTAATTCGGTGTGCATATCTTCAAACAAAACCGGGAAGGGATGTTCTAGCAAAACTCACCCAGCTGTTGCCACCTCTAAGAAAATTAGCTTATTCTCCAGTGTCATTATTTCATACCAAGCCTAGATCGCATTTTACAAAAATTCTTAAATCTCCTAATGAGAGTATCTTTTCCACAGCTTTTCTCAAATTGGCTTTGAGTTAATCATAATAGCTCATCCAGAGTAGTGATAGGGAGGTGGCATGGCCCAGGGACTCTGGGAAATTGCAATCTAGCCAAAAGGAAGGGGGGGAGAAAAAATACTTCCCAGGGCTTAAGTAATGTACTAAGATGCTGCTAGTGATTTTGTGTTAAAAGAAATTTTCAGAATGTACCAAAGTCAAGAAAAAGAGCATGATGAATGCCTTAGTACCTGTCACTCTGCTTCACAGGTCTGGGTTCCAGCTTTCCTCTATCTCTAACTCCCCTTCCTGCACACCCTTCACCCCTCTGTATGAATAAGCACATCAGACTGCAACTTACAAGACTTACCTATGCAGACATCAAAATGATGATGATCTTCTTGTCTATTATCTGTCCTAGGATGTGAGCCTCATGAGAACCGAGACTGGTCCTTGCTGTTTTCTAGCACCTGAAATAATGTTTGGCACATAGTTGGTGCTCAGTAATTTTTTAATTATGTGAATAATGAAATAATTTGAATACAGATAATTGTCTTAGATTAGTCCAGCTTTCAAAAAAAGGATAGAAATAAGGCAGATGCAAATAGATCCCATTTATTAGGCTTTTAATATCGAGGCCACTGATTTTTTTAAAAACTTTTAATATCAACCTTTCAAATTCCTCAGTTAAAGTTATGATTAACTTCATCAGCAATGGAGAAAATTGAAAATCATCAAGTTACCATTTCTAACCCATCAAATTGGCTTTATAAAGGAAGGGATAATGTCTGGCATTGATTACTCTGTGGAAATAATAGGCTTTCTTTTGCCTAAGAGGAGAACTGACCAGAAAGGTTCTGCTAGGGGCAGTTTGGCAGCATGTGTGTAGTATCATCTCAGTCACCATGCTAGGTTGACGTAGGAGAGGGGACAACTACATGAACCAGGAATGGTCTTCAGAATGTCATTAATGGAGGCAAAATACAAGGAGTAATTACAGCAATTATTAAATCTCGGTATGTTCATGTACATTGGGGGGTGCCTGTAGGTGGGTTATTTTTTAAGAAGCGGAAAAAATAACTTCTAAATGGATATGATCATTGTTCATTGACAGTAAGCGCCAAAGGAAGTCATCATCACTAGTGAAGAGGGAGATGGTCAGATATCGCCTTTAGTGTGTTAAACACAAGAAATGAAGAAAACATACAGCCCAGCTGGTAGCTCTGGACAGGGGACTAGGATTTGGGGATGGTTCAGAGCAGAGGCATTTCTGTGATCTATTGTTTTGTTTTTCTTTTCAAAAAATGTAGGTATTACTGTGTAATTCTAAAATACAAGGGGGAAAGAGGGAAAAGTGAATGGCATCTGAGGCTCATATACTAATACTGGATCAATATTAATATCCAGATTTCAATGGTCGTTCTGTGGTTACTTGGTGGAGTCCTGTGTACATAGGAAGCATACACTGGAATATTAAAGAGTGATGGACCAAATGACTTCGACTCGTGGTTCAGAAATACTCACAATGGGGAATCTGATAGAAGAGCAAATGGGAGCACTGTGGCCTGTTGTGACAACTTTTGTTACATGTGAAATTTATTTCAAAATAAAATGTTTCAAAGGGGATTCATACTTCACAGGCTGCTTCCTGCTGTCACATGCAACTTTTAAACATTTACAAGATGTTAGATTCCTTAAAAGATGGATATCTCTTTCTCTTGGCCTCATGTCTAGCACTAGAACATTGCAGGGAAGAAATACACAGGTGAGCTTTTGCAGAAATAGTTGCCAGAACTAGCTAGGAAAGACAGGGGACAATTGGGGGACATTATATGTGTCTGAGCATTATGTGATATTACATGATGATTTTTCACCTTTTTGGGTGTGATTTTAGGACTAGGGTTATTCTAGAAAATGTCTCAAAATTATGCCTGGGGATGAATGGCAAGGCGCCTGCGGCTTGCTTGAAGATACTTGAACACAAGGAAAGAAGCTGAAGTGAAAGTGGGTGAATAATCACACTTGTCAGCTCTGGGCCATGAGCACCTTGGAGTCCACAATGGCGTCCTTGTTCTTATGTGCATTTAAAATTGTTCACAAAATCTTAAAACATCGAGAAACACTTCTCCTTGTTACTTAAAGTAGTTTTGGTTTCCTTTCTAAAAATTAAGAATATTTTAATAATTAAAATGTCTCAAGAGGAGACTACCAGCTCAGTGTGATTGTATCTGGGCGGAGAGATGGAGGGCCAGGGAGAGAAGGGGTTGTCATTTTTAACTTCACGTATTTCTGTGGTGCATGAACTTTCTTAGAATGTTACTAGCAAGAACTGAACAGTTGAACTATCACTAAAATGCTGGCCATTTACTTCTGGGAAGGGGATGACTTGGAGAAGAGGCTCTTGGTGATAGGAGACTTTTAATTCCATGTTCTGCATTTGTTCATTATTTAAGTAGTTTACAAATTAAAATGCCCAATTAAACTAATTTATAAAAGATTTCAGGCCAGACCAAAGAATGTAAAGAAGGTGAAGGTAGAGATGCCATCAAACACTTCAACAAAATAAGCTCAGGTTACAAAACTCTGATTTACAATATGATTTTTAAACCACTAGAGAATTTCATCCTACAAATAGGCTGTAGTTAACTAATCCCCTAAGCAATCTTCAGGTCACTTCTTTATTTTAGGATTTCAAATATTGAAGCAATAAACTCCTTGCCCATCATTCCTAACTATTTCCTTAAGATGTGTTCCTCAGAGTGGAATTTCTGATGCAGAGGAGATGAGGAAGTTCTTGATATTACCGCAAGGTGTGGAATGAAACACCCGTTTCTGCCTATCAGATGGGCAAAAAAGGAACGGGGTTGAAAATTATAGTTGGCAGGTAAGAGTAGGGGGAAGGTTCCTTTGTGGGCCTCAAAAATGTGGAGGGCAAGTCCATAATATGAGCCAGTTTAAATATTAAGCATAACCTTTGTTGCCACAGGTGGCCCCTGCATCATGTTCTCGGGGTATCTAGTTAAGTACACACAAATACAAACACAAAGAAGGATGTACAGGGATGGTGTACTAGGTAAAATTGAGCTCCTCCCGAGCTACAACTATTTGAGATGATAGGGTGTGTTATAATTCAATAAGAAGAAGGAAATATGGGCACAAAGATCTACACAGAGAATGGTATCTGGTGACAGACAAGGAGAGAAGGCCTGGTTTATGGTACTTTGTTCCAGCAGCTAAGAAAAGCAATATGGGTGGCCATTGTGGCACTGTGTGTAAATAACAAAAGGAGGGAAACAGCCTAGAAGTCCATCAGTAGGAGACTGCTCTTAAATTATGGTATATCCAGGCAGTGGAACATTATGTGGCCGCTAAAAATAATAAGATCACCAGTACACATTGTCAAATGAAAAAATACAAAATGTGTATAATCATGTGAAACTTACTACCATTTCCACAGAAAATGGAGTATATGTTTGATTCTGAATTAAATGGCTTGTAACAGTTATGACCTCTGAGGTCGGGAGTAGGGGTTCCTAGAGTGTGAAGGAGAGAGGCATTTCACTAGATGCTGTTGTGGGAAAGCATTTCTGTGTTCACTTTTTTGCTACTGTACGTGTGTATGGGCTGCTTTTCTGCCTCATTTTCCTTGGGGAGAAATGGTCACTGGGTCTTGACCTTTTCTCATTGGTTTAAAGAATTTAAGATGTTTTGAAAGTGCTAATATTTTCCTGTGGGTTTTGTGGTTGTTGTTTAAAATTTAAAAGTAATAAAGTCTCCATGTTAAAATGTATACAGAAGTGTATATGGTGAAAAGTGCCTTTGTTTCAGTCGGGATCCGAATAAGGCCTGTTGGTTGAATGTTGATGGATACCTGCCTCAGTATAAGGTTTTCAACATAGAGTTTTCCTGATCCTTTATTTTCTCCTTCACAGTTTATTTGTTGAAGAAAACAGGTTTTCCTGCAGTTTCTCACAGTCTGCATGATAATGATAATGATGATAATGTCTCCAAAGGTGTCATTTACAATGATCACCAGCCCTTTGTATTTCCTTTGAAGTAGTGTTAAGATAGGGAAGCCTGGGGTGATTCCCTTTTATTTTGTTTATTATAGGGCTTTTGAGGGGGAGATTCCCCTTTAGAAGTGTAATGTTTTCAAGACACTTATAACATCCCATGGTTATTTTTATTAATGTTAGCAACCATGCATATCCTTGTCTGCCCGATTGCATTGGTTGACCTTCAGAATAACATTGAAGAGCAGCAGTAGCAAACACCCCCTGCTCTCATTCATGAGTTTCATTAAGAGAAAAGTGGTTATTAGAGATTCTGCTTCATCCAGCACACCCTTGAACTTCAGGGACAAAAGACAGGGGTACTACTGCAGGGGACCTGCTTTGTCTGGAAATGTGACCATCGGCGTAGCCTAGGCTTCCACCCAGAACTGTCCACAGAGCCCACAGGAACTTCCTTCCTCCCCTTCCAGATGGGCCTGGACCTTCCCTCCACCCCTTCTCTCTCTCCTTGGATCCTGTAATTCTAGTTTCCATCTCCACAGGGCAGGACAAGTCTTCAAAGAAGACGGGAGATTTGCTGGCAATCGTGAAGAAACTTCAAAAAGGTCTTGTGTCTAGGGTCTAAACCTTGGGCTGGGTTTGAATCATAAACATGCTTCCAACCCAGATCCCTTTACTCACAACCTTGAACCAAAAAGAGAGCCCCACACTCCAAAATTCAGGAAGTCTAAGAGAATGGAAAACCTACTCTGCTTACACACACACACACACACACACACACACACACACA